AAGCTTAATCAAATCTTGTTTATCTGAGGCAACAGACTTGAGAACTGAGGAATTTATCATGAGAAATCCCTTTCCCCTGATCACGGTGTTTCTGTCTGCTGCTGCATTTGCCATCCATCCTTGTACCCCATGATCATACTAGGAAAATCATTTCACTTCCTGAAGTTTTTAATTACTTTTAAACGATTTTTAAATGTCTAGTGCTGCTTCTGTTCTTCTTTTCAGTTGTTTTATGAAGTTTGTTAATTTTAAAATTGGTATTTATTAATTACTGATTTCAGTAATTTGAAGTTAGCCTTTGGAAAGTCAAAGGTATGTTGATAGAACTTTGGATAGACTGAAGAAAAATACTACAATAACTACACTATTCCAACTAACCATAAGACTTACAAATAAGTGACAGACTAGAATGACAAAAACAAGGTACAACAAAATAATCTGGCAACACTTAAGTCTTCACTTTAGGAGTCTTCTTGATGCCTGGTAGGCAATTATGATATTTGATAGTAATGCCAGTTTAGTGTAGATTTTTTTTTTTTTTTTTAGTTATATACACCTATCAGGTTTCTGTGGTCATGGTCAAGAATTTGCAGCAGAAAAAAAAATGGATATTTATAGCAGGAAATGAAATGCATTACTGAGGCTCTGGCCTGTAGGTGACCAAAGTGCATTAAATCTATGTGATGCAATGAAACTCTGTAGGGATTTGGGCTTGCATAAGATTAATTCCTATTTGATTTGTCAGTGGAGATACAATGACTTTTGGACAAAGTAGGCTGCACCTGAATTCAAATGCATTTGTGTATATTCAACTTTTTGAATTAGGCTCTTCTGCCCTTCTAATTCTTGTATAAGCCCAGTGCACTCTTCTGTATTTAGTTTGTGCACATCATATTTAATTGCTGTGAAAAATCCAGTTTCGAAAGCTGTGCATAAGTGGTCATGCTTCTGTAATTCAATAGAGCATGCATCTGCTGTCAGGTCAGTGTTTTCCATTTGTATTTATTCTGGAATGGGACATCTCTAGGATCATAGTTTGTGAAATGAGTATAGCTTCTGACAAAGTGTGCTAGAAACACATTGAATGGATTTATTTTGCTAAAAACTATTTAATGTGTTGTGCTGACCATGACACATGGAGTCACTTTCTCCTTCCTGTTTTGACTATAAAGCCTAAGGATGGTGAAATCTGTTTTGAAGATGGGTTGTCATAGACCCTTGGAATTGTTCCTTTCCCCATCAGTTTCATAAACAGGTCATACAAGAACCTCCCTTTTTTAATCTGGGCAGCAGTGTTTCAGCTTTCTGTTCTTTCAGGTTTTTTCTTCCTGTCTTCTCTGTACTTTTCCTGTCTTTCGCATTCTCACACCATTGTATGAGCATCCAGTGCAAATGTGGTATTCCTCCTTAATAAAAACAACCAGAAAGTGTCTTTATTCCTAAAAGCTTTGATTTTGGGAACACAGTATGTGAAGTTCAGTTATTATTAGCAAGTACATAGTCTTTGTATGCACAGATAAATTAACAAGCACAATCACATTATGTGGCTTCTGTGTAGGGTCAGGTTAGGTCCTCCTTGTGGTCGAGTCCAGAGGACTGAAAAGTGCTGCTGTCAGGTCAGTGTTTTCCATTTGTATTTATTCTGGAATGGGACATCTCTAGGATCATAGTTTGTGAAATAGCTTCTGACAAAGTGTGCTAGAAACACATTGAATGGATTTATTTTGCTAAAAACTATTTAATGTGTTGTGCTGACCATGACACATGGAGTCACTTTCTCCTTCCTGTTTTGACTATAAAGCCTAAGGATGGTGAAATCTGTTTTGAAGATGGGTTGTCATAGACCCTTTGAATTGTTCCTTTCCCCATCAGTTTCATAAACAGGTCATACAAGAACCTCCCTTTTTTCATCTGGGCAGCAGTGTTTCAGCTTTCTGTTCTTTCAGGTTTTTTCTTCCTGTCTTCTCTGTACTTTTCCTGTCTTTCGCATTCTCACACCATTGTATGAGCATCCAGTGCAAATGTGGTATTCCTCCTTAATAAAAACAACCAGAAAGTGTCTTTATTCCTAAAAGCTTTGATTTTGGGAACACAGTATGTGAAGTTCAGTTATTATTAGCAAGTACATAGTCTTTGTATGCACAGATAAATTAACAAGCACAATCACATTATGTGGCTTCTGTGTAGGGTCAGGTTAGGTCCTCCTTGTGGTTGAGTCCAGAGGACTGAAAGCACTGTTGACAGCAAAATGCCCCAATGTGAGGGGGTAAATTAAAAAGAGCCAGTTGCTTTGGAAGAGGATTCACAACTGCTGGCATCTTAAGGCCAGCTTTGTCCCAGACTTGGTGACATATGTCTTGGTATGTACTGAGACATCTTGGTGTCTGTTTTCCTGGAAGTGAGTACCTCAGCTGGCTAATTGGAAACTTACATTTTTTTACCTAAAAAAGAATTTTATATATTTTATCAATGTGATGTTGTGTAAACATGTAGTAGGAAGGAAGGAAGCTCACTTTTTTGTCTCAGGAAGTTGAGATCTAATGTTTTCAAGAGAGTGAGCTGAGCTAGGCTGGCTGCAAGGCAAGGCTGGGCATGTATTTGGCCTTGGTTGAAACTACGCTTTTACAGCAACAAAGAATGAAAAAAAAACCAGTCAGAGAAAATGAACCAATAGACTTTATAAGTCTGTAGTAGGAGTGCTCCTGTGGTTTTGGTCCTTACTCCCTGCATTTAAGTACCATGTTACTCATAATGTTAGACAAATGTTATTTGTTCCAGCAGAAATCTCACTAACAAAACCAAAGACGTGATACTCTCACAAAGCTGTAAGGAAATTACCTGTGGTTTGTTCAATATTTCCGTTTTGTGCTGCTGAGGTTTTTATTTCTTCTGTTTGTTTGAAAAGCATGTGTAAGTATATACGAAAATATATACACACGTATATCTTCAACACATGTAATCGGAATCCTAATTGTACTGACCTTTTGCTGTCAAAATGTAAGAAAAAGTCTTTCCATACCATACCATACCATACCATACCACTTTTTTTCACTGAAGTGTTGTCTGTTTTCTTTTCCATCCCTCAGTGTATTCTCTTCCATCCTGCTGTGGCAGACTGTGCTGTTGTGGGCCAGGAGGATCCTTTAAAAGGACATGTTCCATTTGCACTGTGTGTACTGAAAGGAGGTGAGAACTCACTGACAACTGATGTCACTAACACTTGCAAAAGTCTCAGAAAAGATAAAGGATTTTACCTTCTTCACTAGGTATAAAGACACAAGAGAGTAAGATTTTGGAAGAGATTGTTGAGCGAGTTCGGAGCAACATTGGTCCAGTAGCAGCTTTCCAGAAGGGGTTGTTTGTGACACAGCTACCAAAAACACGCTCTGGCAAGATCCCACGTTCTGCTCTTTCTGCCCTCATCAGTGGAAAGCCATACAAGGTAAGTTAGAGATGTTTGCTTCAATGAATTAGGCACACATGCACATCCAAAGGCACAAAATGGTGGTTTTGATTCTCTTGACTGTTCTGCAACTGGTCCATGACTTCAGGTAGTACTTTATGTTTTATTTCTATTACCGATTATCCAAAAGATTTTCATGTTTCAGAGCATTACAGATACTTTTTTCTTGATTTCTTTTGAAGTATAAATTTAGAAGAATCTCTGAATGAAATTCTTATCTACTATCACATGCTACTGTATTCTTACTTTTCAGATAACACCAACCATTGAAGATGCTAGTGTGTTTAAACACATTGAAGACTTGCTAAAGAAAAATTAAATGAGATAATACATAATAATGAGCATTTCAGTTATTCAAGTATACAAAGAAGCTTTTCTTTTGTTAATAACACATTTTAAAAGCAAGTAATGATTTGGGACTAAATGTTTTTACTGCACAAACATTACTCTGTTCTTTGCCATCTTGCCACAGCCACTGACACATAATAAAGTCTCTGCATGCTGTCAATATATGCTGGTTATTAAGATGGCTAAGAATTGCAAATAGAATTCATACATTGCTGTAGTCTTAAAGGGTAGGAGTCATTGGATTATCCATCTTATATAGTGTCACGTAACCTTGCATTTCAATCCGTTATTTTATAATGTGACCAGTAACTTTTCTTTGGCTAAAGCAGTTTACAAAAGGTAAACTATGAACAGAGGACAGCAAAAAAGGAATTTGATTGTGAATATTGTTGCAGATATAAATTGTTCTTACTTGTAAATTATTAGGTCTTCTAAATTTTTTCTTAAATTAAAAATTTTAAGATTAGTTCTCTTGATTCTATTTTCTTTTTTTTTCCCCTAAGTCTTTCTGCCTTAAATTAGATTTCTATACATTTTTTACTCAATAACTTTTTGAAGAGCCTATTTTGTAAAATGATAAATAATTTCTGACTTTCAAATCTGTGAAAATCTTGATTTGTCCACAGTAATACTCCAAATACCCCATGTATATTATATAAATAAAGGCAGGCATTTACCTTTTGCATTTTCTGGTAATTTTTTTCTGGTCTGTATCCCTTATGATAAGGGCAACCAGAATGTGCTTTTTCTGCCATAATTACACATTTTAAGCTGAGATACATATAACCAAGACATTTAGCAAATATGTATACTAAGCAACCCATTGTGGACTTTATAGGCCATTCCAGACATTTACAGCATTCTCCACAAGCCAGGGGATGGAGGATACATTTTCTACATACGTTTCTTCTCAAACTGCAGTTATTTAATTGAACAACAAATGTAAAAATCCTTTCAAAAATAGATGCTCCCAGAAAAGTATAAAGCAGAGAAGTTGCTCAAACTCAGCAGTGCTTACCAGAGAAAGAAACAGTAAGTAGATGATGGTGTTGTATAAGAGAGGTCCCCAAAAGGGTCCAGAAATACTGCTACGTAGTGGTGGATAGAGGTAAGGATTATATCCCTGTGAAGTAGTGAAATAAACCAACAGATTGATGTAGGAGCTAAAAGGTGATAGGTTCCACTTAACATGAGCCATACCCTAGTGGTGCCTTGTGCTTGTGACACTTTTGTGGAGTTGGTGAGCTCTACCAGTTACATAAGAACTGAATGAAATGTCCATGTGTTTTTCACTGGGGACTGCAGACAGCTGGGCCAGTCATGTTGAATCAGGTCATACAGTCATGCTAAACCAGTCCAGTTTGAGCCTGGGCTGTCCTTGTTTCCTGCCAAATCATTGCATAAGGTACCCTCCCTCCCTCTCAGCTGTTTGCGTGATGGTTGAAAATCACCATCTGAAAAGGGAATAAAACATGCAAAGTAACTGAGTAAAGATGCTTTATGGTAGATATGCTAAATATACAGGTTGGAGATTTAAAAGGGGGAATAATTTTGCTCTTCAGAGATGTGAAGTACTTCTTATAGAAGTGGCAGTTAGTTTAAGATACTACTTTCTTCTGGATGAATTATTCAAGTACAAAGGCTTTAACAGGAGGCCCATGCCAAATATTGGACTGACTTGCAGAGACTTTTTGCTTTTCACAATGCTACAACTTAGTAACTTGTGCTGAACAGTTACAGAGCAAGAGGAAATTCTTGGGAGTTGTCAGTGGTGTGTTTTCAAATCAGTGAGACACTATGAGAGTCTTATCACAGAGAAACTGTGGCACATTCACACGGTGTGTGGCCACTCCTTTTACTCCTTTTAATTGAAGGTGAGACACTGTTGTGTATATTTGTTATCCTTACCTTGGCTGCAGCCATCATATAATTGCAAGAGCAGGAGAGGGGAACTAATTAGTGAGAGCAGAAACTCTCTACAAGAGATTCTGCAATTCATGTAGAAGAGAATTACGCGAGAGAAGATCTTGCATAATTTTCCCAATGATAACTCATGTTCCTACACCAGTTTCTCCATTTGTAAGGAAAAGTAAACTGCTGTCTAGTTTGGGTCTCTTAAGGAAGTGAAAAAACCCCACAAAATCCTCAACAGCATTAGTAAAAGATATTCAGGCATGCACTTACCTTTCAGAAGGGCTTTGTGCTTACATTAATATTAGTAAGAAAAAATTCTCTTTCCTCTGAACTGTTTTTGAAGAGCTTCAGTAGGTCACATTCTTAAGGTGTCTCCATGACAAAAATATTTGTAATAATTTCTGCTTTCTGAGGAAGCCTGAGCTGTAGCAGTCTGGGGGGGGTCTCACCCTGCAGTCTGGGGGTCCCACCCAGCAGTGTGGGGGTCCCACCCAGCAGCCGGGGGGTCTCACCGTGTGCCCCCTCCCCAAGGGCCGCGAGGGCGAGATCCGCCACCTGTTCCGCGGCTTCGCCTTCCTGCACTGCAAGAAGCTGGTGGAGAACGGCGGCATGTTCGTCTGCAAGACGCGGCACCTGGTGCTGGCGGGGGGCTCCAAGGTCAGCCCCCTCCCCATTTTCCCCTTTTTCCCGTTTTTCCCCCCATTCCAACCCCCCTTTCCCCCCCCAGCCCCGCGACGTCACCAACTTCGCCATGTGCGGCTTCACGCCGATGTCGCCCCGCATCAGCAGCCCCATGCACCCCAGCGGGGCCGGTGAGTGCCTTTGGGGGGTCCCGGGGGGGCTTTGGGGACCCTCGGGGACCCCGCTGAGCCCCCCCGTGCCCCCCCCACGCAGGGCAGAGGGGCGGATTTGGGGCCGGGGGGCTGAGCCGGGGCCGCGGGCGCCGCGACAACGACCTGATCGGGCAGACGGTGCGCATCTCCCAGGGGCCCTACAAAGGTGGGTGCGCCTCTGAGACCCCCCCCG